CCCGCCCCCTGCGCCCGCGGCCGCCCCTGCGCGCCCCGACGGGTCTGGCCGAGCCCTCTCCCGCTGCCCCCGGGCTCTCCCGGCGCTGGGGTGCGCGGCCGCGCTGCGAGGCACAGAGCACTCGTGTCTCTTTTTCCAAACCATAATTTTACTGTCTCAAAGAACTTTATAACTTATGTACAAAGATTTGCGTGGTTTTTTTCCTTCCTTCCCAGGTACAAAGCAATAAGTTAACATTCTCAATATAAAACTAAACTTTGACATAGAGAACACTACACACAGCCGAGCTCAGGGGATCACATCTTCCGAGGTTCACAAGTAAAAGGTCAAGATCTCAGTACACAAAGCATCAGGTTTTACAGCCACACGAAACAGAACGGGGGAAAAAAAAAGCTAAATTTGTGCAACATGTTTACAGAACAATAATAATAATTAATAATCGAGAATCAAATATGTACAGCGAGTAGCACGTCGGTTTGTGCATTGCGACTTCGGGAGGCTTTTCCGCGGGAAGCAGCGCCGGGCGCGCGCGCAGAGCCCCGCAGAGCCGCGCAGCGCCGGCCCGCGGGGCTGGGGCTCTTCCTGCCGCTCCGCTCCCCTCGTCAAAGCGCTCGGCAGCTGCTGCCGCTTCGCTGTCAAACGCGCTACGTTTATTTCCCTTTGCTAAATACGCGAAAAACGCAACTCGCACGGACCAAGCCTTTCCGCACCAACCAAGTATAAAAGTCTATGGAAAAGTTTAAAATCGCGTCTTCCTTCAGCAGTGGTTTGGGGTGCAGGTGGTTTTGTTGCGAGTAAATCGTGCGCCCGAAGGGTGCCCCGAATAGGGCGCGTTGCCCGCTTCTTTCTGGCACTCTTTACTAGTGGTAATTGCAGTCAATAAATAAAATCGGTTTCTTCCCCTTTTAACAACAACAGAAAATATACAGATGAATAGTGAAAGTTACAGAAAACGTAGAGGAAAAATAATCCCTAGGAATTGTACATATTGCCTCCTCCTTGCCGTTGAGGAGACCGTCAGATCGGGTAGTAAATAAATGACCTACATTTCAACAGACACAGACAGACAGACAGGACAGGGGAGAGGGCTCCCCCCACTACGACCATATTTCGCTGATTGTGCCACAAAGCGGAGGTCGGGCGCTCGCGCTGCTCGCGGGCTGTTGCGCGCCCGCGCCCGCCCCGTCAGCTGTCGGCGCTGGGAACGGGCCCGCGTCGCATCTGTGCTGCCCGGCGTCTGAACGGCTCCGTGCGCAAGAGACCTCCTGCTCGGGTGCTTGGGTGGTTTTGTTTTGTTTTCCTTTTTCTTTCCTCCCCCCTCTCTCTTCTTCTTTTTCTTTTTTTTCTTTCTTTTCTTTTTCTCCTTTCCTTTTATTTAGCTTTACGCTTTAAATAATTTTAATTCTTGTGGCGACCTGCAGTGCTCGCAGTAGGGGGAAAGCCGCTCTCCCATCACATGAGCTGAGGCTGCTGCATAGCTTCTTGGTGGGCCGACGGGTACCACGACGTGTAGCTGGGGATGTAGGTGCCCGGGGTGCCCGAGGAGGCCTTACCGGCGGCGGAGGACGTGTTCCACACGGGCGGCACGGGCGGCGAGCTGCCCGACAGCGCCCGCCCGTTGCTT